AGTTTCTATGAAAAAAATTTCAAGTTTGATATTTGACCAAAACTTACCAAAAATTAACTTTCAAAAATACGTTTTTTTTTTTTAAGTTTAAGAAAAATCTTGGTTTTTCGAATACTTAAAAAACTTTCTGTATTTCCATTACTTAGTTTTTGTGTCTTTATAGGTATATAAATATATATATGTATAAATTCCTCAATATATTGAGTACATGAAAAATGTATTAATGATCAATTAAAAAAATAAATAAATTATAGATGTATTTGTATTTATAATTAATAAAAATAAAAATACAATAATATATGAAAAGAATGAGAAAAAATATATTAAACAGTTGTGATTATCACTTAGAACATTTAATGTCTTGAAATATGGTTGAATTTGATATTTTAAAACATCTAATCAAATTTTTTTGTAGTGGTACTATACGGTGTATTTGTCTTGTGCCTGGTATTGTTTTCGCTTGTACAAATCTAGTTTCTAATAATTTTTTATTTTCTTGTACTTCACTTGAAGGAACAAAAAAAAATTTTATTCCTTTTATGTTTTCTTCACAATAATCATACATAGCTTCTGGAGTTAAAATATGATTTTTATTAACACATTGTAAACTATATTTGGTCACTAGCCTTTTTGTAGTACCACCTACACCATCACTAGCATTTTTTCCGTGGCACGAAGCAAAAAAATTCCATTCAGCTCCAATACCAAAATCTTCATCGTGATAAGAAATATTAATAAAATTTTTTTTATTTTTGTATTGGCTAGCCGCACCATCGCTAAAGTATACAATTTTTTTTACAAAAGGGCATTTGCTAATTAAATCTTTAATAAAATATTTTTGAAACGAGTAAAATGTTTCTGTAATGTGTTCTAAGTGATCACTTATAATACATAAACTCTTACATTTGATTTCATCATTAATCTTATAATAATAAACAAATGGATGAAGTGTAGCCTGCTTATTCACCCAATGAAAACTTTGAATCTCATCTTGTACTACAAAACTATAGTTTTCTGAAAAGTCTGCAACGACTAAACATTCTGTAGTAGTTAGATTTTCTTTAAGCTTTTTGAAATAACTTGATTGAATTTTAGATGTATAGTGGTGTATTTTTAAAGAAAATAACTTATCTTTTAATAATTCTACAAATTCATCTACAGGTAATAAATTAGTAACTAAATTAGCTCTATCAGTGCTAACCCATTGTCTAAAAATGATGTTTTCTGGGCCATCGTCTAACTCATATGAGAGATTTTTTTTTAAATAGTCACTTCTATTTAAACAAATATCACACTCTCCCATCATGCAATTATAGTTATCAATATTACATACCAAATAACTCAAGTAATTTTTGTATTCATATTTTAATGAAGCTCCTTCTATCATAAGTTTCACATTTTGATGATGAACACAAACGCACACGGTATGTGTGCCCGAAGACCCAGCTAATATACACCACTTAGGTTTTAAAGAACAAAATTTTGATCTACCAATTTTCAAATTTGGATTAACTATCTTAAATTTTACGTATAGTTCATTTAAATTACACAGTAGTAGTCGTTTTTGGTATTGCTCACTGGAACCGTTACTTTTAATAGAGACATAATCTTTTTTACCAGGACAGATCCTACTATATTCGTCATCATCGTAAAATTTTAAAACACGCTCAGTTATCTCATTACTGATGGCATTTCCTGATTTCTTTTTTAATTGAGGTAAAATTCCTTCATTTTTTACTAACTCACGAGTAGTTCGGACCATATATTCTGAGACATTAAATTCGCTGCAAATTTTTTCTCGTGACCATGAAGTAGGCAATAAACTGATTATTTTCACCTTATCTTCTTTTGAAGAAACGTACATTTTTTTTTTTAATTTTTCAATTAATTTATCATACTCTACATTATTTGAAGTCGCTATATTTTTAGAATTAATTGAAAAATTATAAATGGCCTCGAACTCAGTACGTAAATTTAAAGATACTTCTTCAACTATTCTATTAATTGCAACAGGTAACTGGGAAGAATTTAATTTTGTTAAATTTGATAGTGGAGACATATTAAATATTTTAAGTACGGAGTCAATTTTATTAATTCTCTCTTCTTTCGAAATAAATATATCATCATTAAAACTTTCATTTAATGAGCTGGCTAACATTTCCACAGAATTACATTCTACATCTTCCGATACAAAAATATTACCATAACAATTACAACACAAAGATTTACCGGGAATTAAAGAAACATTTTTTTTTACTTTTGATAAATGTTGTAAGCTTATTTCCCTTAACCCCTTTTTTATAGAACGTTTGTGAACCCCCAATGGATCACAACATTTTCGTCCAAATATATATTTGTACTTAAATAAATATTTTTTCACATGGTACTCACAGATGGTAGTAATATTATCATGTACTCTTTTAAAAAGTAATTCTTTTTCGTCGTAATGAAAATCATTAATATTTTTCAAATTAACTGATATTGAATCTTTATGGTAAACATTTTGATGACACTTTTCATTTAAATACATTCCAATAGAACAGTCCATATTTTATTTTAAAAATAACAAATGAAATAATTAAATATAAAAGAATTTAAATAATGTAGTACTATAAAATATAAAATTGATAGCAAAATTATGAATAAGCAACTAAATAAAGTACATCTATACTCGGCATACAAGTTAAACCCATTTATTTATAATTCTACCTTTAAAGAGAGCAAATAGGTAAAATAGGTAACGATATAAAAGTGATAAAGATAAAAAATTAATCGTTTATATGAAGATAAATATAAAGATTTCTGTTAGTGTAATTTAATGATAAATGATAAAAAAAAATATGAACGATTTCTAGATTATATTGTGTATATACAAAAGTTGAAAAGAGACGTTATCGTAATTAAATTGCAGAACATTCAACAAATCATTATTCAAGTGTAATAAGGTATATTCTTCTCATTTAAAATAATTTTGAATAATATCCTAGAAAAATCTAACAAAAAATTAATATAATTTACATCTATAATTTATTTATTTTTTTAATTGATCATTAATACATTTTTCATGTACTCAATATATTGAGGAATTTATACATATATATATTTATATACCTATAAAGACACAAAAACTAAGTAATGGAAATACAGAAAGTTTTTTAAGTATTCGAAAAACCAAGATTTTTCTTAAACTTAAAAAAAAAAAACGTATTTTTGAAAGTTAATTTTTGGTAAGTTTTGGTCAAATATCAAACTTGAAATTTTTTTCATAGAAACTACATACATAGTACTATATTGTGTGAAAAAATCATATTAAAATATTTTGTTCCACCAGAGAAAAATTAAAATAAAAAAGCTTAAAAATTGATTTTTTAGAAATTCGAGCATTTTTAAATATGTCCCAATAAAAAACGGTAAGAGTAAAATGTTTCAAAACACAATTACATATTACTATGAGTGTACGTTAATATTTAGAAAAAAAAATTAATTAAAAAAAAATGTTTTTTCATAGTCAATTTGATCTTTGAAAATTACATTATTTTGTAAAAAAAGCTCAATTTAGAAAACAAAATTTTCCAACTTAAAAGTTAAAAAACGTGTTGGTAATTATGGAATATGTTAGAGTATCACATAAAAAAAAAACAATGAAAGTTTCAAGTCTTAAATATAAATACTGTTATCATAAGGATATTTTTACGAATTACAAGTATTTCATAATTTAAAACTTTTGATAAGTCATAAATACATTTTCGTAAAACTTTTTTAATTTTTTTTTTTTAATATTTTCTTCTTATATACTAGACAACTTGTGTGTAAAATTTCAAAAAAAAATAAAGTGGTCGCGCAACGACTTTGGATGATTTGATATGGATTTACCCTAACGTCATTTTATGTCTTCAATGCAACACGTAGCGTAGAGGTACTTATATAATTATAAATAATTATTATAAATTTATTTAACATATATTAATATTTAATATCACTTAATTTAATATAAAGACTTTTGAAAACTGTCCAAAAAAATTGGAATCAAAAATATCAACACTTTGTGATGCTGGATTTTTATAAATAAGTATGGGGCTATATATTATTAAATGTATTTTTATGATTCGTACATTTATTCAAATACTTTATTTATAAGTGTATATAATTTTTAGGTAATGGACAAAATGTTATGTTACTGCTGCAGTCATGGTTTGAAAGATTGGGATGATGAAGACGACCCATGGGTAGAACATGTACGTTGGTCTTCTAGCTGTACACGTATATTGTTATGTAAGGGTTAGTTATTTGTCCAAAATAATAAAATAACGAAATAAGCGTACTATTATTTATTATTTTGATTTTCATATAAAAAATTTAATCAATGTTAAAAAATAAATGAACATTTTTAATATTGTATCTTGTGTGTTATATAAAACCATACCAAAAGTGACGGTGGGTAATAAATAAAAATAGCAATTTTCGATTAAGTAAAAAATGTATTATACTACTACATTCATAATTTTCATAATCTAAGAGGGTTGTTGTATTTACAAGCGTTCGTATCTACCAAAAAAAAATCAGTGTGACGACTTTATCAGCTTTATTGTGTCCGAATTATGTATATATATTGTAAGAACATTTATTACTATGTTCTTACCACTTATATTACACACGTTTTATTTCTATTTATTTAATTCGTAATACATATTAATTAGCATAGAGGGAGATGCTGATGTGACAATTCTACTCGCCTGTAGCCCGGAGCTATTGACGTCGAACTAACAAAGGGCAGTTGTGTTTGAGTGGTCGTTATAGACATAGTTTTCAATACTATTACTTTTATCTTATTCTCTAAAGATGTTTAAAAGATTCGATATAAATAGTGATTTTTTTAAAAACTCATCCCAACACGTGAAATAATTCAGCTAATATTCAGCAGGATATTTTTACGAATTACAAGTATTTCATAATTTAAAACTTTTGATAAGTCATAAATACATTTTCGTAAAACTTTTTTAATTTTTTTTTTTTAATATTTTCTTCTTATATACTAGACAACTTGTGTGTAAAATTTCAAAAAAAAATAAAGTGGTCGCGCAACGACTTTGGATGATTTGATATGGATTTACCCGTTAGTGATTACAACTGTTGTCCATACTTTTAAATTCACCTAATAAATAGATTAGATATATATTTTTACATGACAGTTTTAAAAAATGTTTATGACACATTGTAGTCCGCACAACCAATGCATGGTTAAAACTAAAATTATAATATTTTAAGTAATACAAATACGAATTTGTAGGTCATTAAATATATTCAAAAACCCGTTCCAGTGTCTTTTTATAGTATAATTCTGTTTTCGTGTATTGATCCAAAGTAAGTTATTATCTAACCACCACTATTCAGTTATAAATGTACTTATAAGTTTACAATAATTTTAATAATTCAAAATGAAATTACCAAAGAGTTAATTTTACACTTTCAACCTCACTGTTTGTGTAAATATTGTTGTTCGCCACCGGACTCCTTATAAACGGTTGGTCCGTATGACTAATTGGTAGAACACCAAAATGTTCAATAATTGATTTTAATCATTCAAAGGAAAAATAAAAAGAAAGGTTACCATTCTTACAATTACTATGGTTTTAATAATACAGTTTTAGTACAATAACTGAATCTGGACGTCCGTAAAAGAATACAAATTTATTAACAAGAGAAAAATTAAAATATAAATTTACATACAAGTACGACGAAACATCCCAACCAAGTCCATCCACGGATTCTATGACCAAGCCACACGGTCCAGGCAATGGACAACCGAAGATTTTCAACAATAAAAAGACGATGGCCCGAGTAAAGCACAGAAAAAAGGAACCACCGTTGTATATTTGGCGACAAAATCAACAAAATCCCACTGGATACTGTGTCACCGTACGCAAAACGAAAAGGCCGTGCGTATCACAACAACATCGTATATATCAAACAAAAAGAAAAAACATGCACGGCACGTCCAATGTTGTCCAATGCATTGGGCAGCTAGACACACGGACCGGTTTACCCCCACCGTAAACCTTTAGAGTGTTCTATATAATACTCGTCTCGGTTGAGGAGATAAGCCGGCCATCAGCTGACTGCATAGTGTTGCGCAACTTGTTCAAACAATTGTGATGAACAAATATTTACATGGTCAGTGTAAATTAAGTGTTGTATATATAGTTTTGTAAATATATTTAAATATTTTAAATTATTATGTTGAAAAATGTTAAATAAATATGTAAATATGTTGTATTAATGGTATGTGTAACTAACTTAATAAAAAAATTATCTAATGGAAACAATGTAGTAACAATCAGGCCTTTGTTACATTTTTAGTGGGTAAATGTGTTAGTATTTATTATGTTGTAAAGGTTAAAGATTATCATCTTGTGTAAAACATATATATGTGTGTGTGTGTGATACGCTCCGCCACACACTCAATGATTTCTACAATATATGATGACGAATAGTTTGTAAACAACTGTATTATTAAAAAAAAAAAAAAACAACTCAGTTTATAAGTGGTTAATGAGTACACATAGCTGTAGGATTGTATCTACTGTATTGTAGCCTAGTAATTTATCTTAAACAAAAACAAATAGAGAGAAGAGAGGGGTAGTATGCTATGAGAGCATACCAATATGTATATCAGATTAATGGTCTCGTGGCAAGCGGATGGAGGTGACGAAAAAAAAAAAAGAGCACTAGTTGTATCCGTTTTCGACTTACGTGCAATTTTCGGGGAATCTGTATTACGCGGTATCCTCCTCCGTGTCATGCTGTGGCTGATGGTAGTAGTTATTGATAGAAATGTACATATCAGTGTCGAGTTATACACCATTAATACGACATTCACCATATATAGTGTACTCACGAATAATTTTGGTGTATAGAAAATGGAACAATTAAAACAAAAAATGAATAATCAAGCCAAAGGTATGGAATACATTAAAATGTCTTACTTGGTAGAGAATTATGTTTATCGATTGGTTTCAATGAAAAATTTGACAACGAAAAACGGTGTTGTAATGGTGGTACGGGTGCCCTACAACCAACAAGTTTTTGTCCCCAGTATACAGTTGACGGACGATGAAATTAAAACGTACAACGACGGCGACACCATAATGTCACTCTGTTACAGACGAAAAACGGAAAATGCTTAATCATTTGACTTTCAATAAAAAATTTTTAATGTATTAACTTTTTTTTTTTTACAATCAACAAAATCTGTTAATATTTTTTTCTAATGATTTATGTACAACAAATTAAATGGAAATAAAATTATATAGTTCATTCACAATCTATTTGTGTTAGCATTATTACTCCGATAGTATAGAACCTAATAGTAGTTTATGACAAAGGTAAATTATACTTTAGATTAATATTATAAGATTAATAGTTTTTCAAATTGGTGGAAAATGTAAAAACAAAAATCACAATAGCTATACTTTAGAGTAGATTTTAAGAAAAAAAAAAAACTTATGTATTCAAATTAAATTTTTACACCATTGATAATATAATTCGTTAACAGTCCAGTAGTGTTTACTTCAATAGTAAAAGTACATTGAACTGAATAGTTGATTATAGAGGTGACCATATACACGTTTAACTAATGTATTAATTTTTCAATAGTTGTATCATGTCATTTGTATGCGGTTGTGGGTCTTCATTTGTTATTAGTACTGGTTTGAATGTTCATTGTAGTATGAATCAGGGTCACCGTCAAACTGTTATTTCAGGGAAACGATGTTTGTCAGCGCCTGCGGGTAGGGTGACCAAACGCGCGTGTGCATGGACACACGTCCATGCAAGGTCCGTCGTTGCAGGGACCGGCTTTGTTCCGATAGAATCTGCACTATGCGGTCGAGTTATACATCATTTTTTGAAAAATGAAACGTCTATTGACGACATTGATGATTTTATTCGATGCGTGAGTGACGATTTAACCACCGTACTAAATGACGTTACCAAGCACGGTATAATAAAATTCAATGTTGTACTGCACACAACGTACATACACCAAGTTATGGGTGAAATGAGAGACGTATCGTTTAAAATGCGTAACAAAACTGTCGATTCCGGTACCGTATATGCCGCCGTTTTTGATGGAATCACGGAGAAGCTCGTGTACGAACAACAGGAAATGGAGACCCGAGGTAGCGGGTGTTCGCTATTATTCATAGACGGACTGCTGTTGAGCGTCACGAAACTTTCACCTATAGCGGTGGCTCGTACATTGAACTTCCACGGTGTATCAAACGAAAATTTGCAGTCATAAACGTAAGAAACGACGACCAGCAGTGTTTTAAATGGGCGATTTTATGTAAGTACAACAAGAATAAAAAACATAGGGACCAATGGAATGCAGGTTACATTGATCTGGAAAAATCCACAAATATACGTTTTGATGGCATTGACTTTCCTACACCATTGAAACAAATTATTCGATTTGAACGTAATAACCCGTCAATGTCAATCAATGTGTTCGCGTTGGACGATAAAAATAAGGTGTATCCGTTGCGTATCACTAAATCGCGTACGAGCACCGATCATGTTGATTTACTTTACGTTACCGAGCCGGGAAACAGCCACTATTGTTATATATCAAATTTCTCGAGACTTGTGTCAAAACAACGAACCGAGGGCAAAGACACGAGTATTATTGTAAACGTTGTTTAAACGCATTTACCGTTCAACCGTTAAAGACTCAACCGAGCGGACAAGCGGGGGTGGATGAGCACATTAAAATGTGTGGAAAGTTCAAGGAGGCGCGAGCCGTCCTTCCCGCACCCGATTCCGACCAGTCGGTACTGCGGTTCAAAAACACAAGGCGAGAGGAGCCGGTTCCAGTGGTTGTGTACGCAGACATGGAGAGTTTGTTGGTTCGTGCCGAGCAACAAGTGTCCAAGTACNTGAACAATAAGTGTCCAAGTACTGTACGGTTACACAAGATCATCAGGCGATGAGTTACTGTTTCTATGTGGTACGCGATTGTAAGGTGTTGCCGAAAAATATTTACGATGGACTACCATACGAACCGGTACTGTACCGGGGACCGGATGAGGCCAAACACTTTATCACGACGTTGGTAACCATTGGTAAACGCATATCGGACATAATGAAGGTGAACATCGATATGACGCCACTGACACCGGAGGACCAACATCGTTTCGATACAACGAAAAATTGCGAGTTGTGTTCAATTAGGTTCACGGATAAAAAAAAAAGTCAAGGATCACAACCACTGGACGGCTCGGTTTCGTTCCGTTTTGTGTAACAAATGCAACCTGCAACGACGTCCACCGGCCTTTATTCCGTTCATCATACAAGGTCTGTCCAACTACGACTCGCACATGATTATCCCAGAGTTGGCATACGACTATAAAGACATATATATCATTGCACAGTCCGAAGAAAAGTACATCATGTTCAACAAGACCATCAATGGTTATTTTCGTATCCGGTTCATAGATTTCTACCGATTTTTACAAGCGAGTTTATTAAAGCTGACCGCCACATTGTCGACACCCGATTTCGTGCATACTCACTAAATGTTTGAATTGCTGGAGTTGGTCACCCGAAAATCTGTTTTTCCGTACGAGTACGTCGACTGTTGGGAGAGGCTCGAAGAAACACGATTGCCGCCCTGTGACCTATTTTACAGCTCGATCATGCATCAGACGGTGTCCGAGGAAGACTGCGAACACGGTAAAATAATGTGGCAACACTTCAGTTGCAACACTCTCGGTGATTACAGCGACAAGTATTTACTTAATGGTATGTTTTTTTTTAGCTTCGATGCGAAGCTGAGAAGGTATTAATTATACTATGATGTGTTTTTTTTTTTTTTAATGTCTGTTGCCACTTTTTCTCACCTCTCACTGGACCGATTTCTTTCAAAAATATGTCAAAAGATCACAAATCGTATCTAGTTGAAGACATTAACCTTAAAAATTGAAAAATTTTCCCTCGTTCCCCGCAACCTTAGATATTTCCCTTTTATTTGATATCATTTTTTTGAAAATCTAACACTTCACCTGTTCATTGAGTGAGATTTAAATTAGCAACTTTTTTACAAAAACTAACTTTTTCAACTTAATTTTTGAAAATGTTTCGGAAATACTACGTCCTTTAAACATATATCAAATTAACGCTTATTTTATGTACTACAAAATGAAAAAAAAAATTTGTCCCGACACTTTATCTTCTGCTTGTAAACGGCTGCCGTAGTTAAAAAAACGCTATTTTTATATTGTTTAAATTTTCAACTTAAAAGTGCTATAACTTTTCGAAAAATGTAATTATCAGCACAATTTTTTTTTCTAAATACATTATAAGTACATCTTTCATTTGACATACTTTTTATTAAAATTGGACAATTTCCTCATATATAGGGGGCGTTCAAGACTTGAAATATTGTATAAAAAATAGAACTTTTTCAACTTAACTTTTAAAAGTGTTCCGAAAATACTGCGTCCTTTAAACATATATCAAATTAAAACTTATTTTATGTACTACAAAATGAAAAAAAAAATTTGTCCCGACGACCTATCTTCTATGCGCAAATGGATACTGTATTCAAAAATATGCTATTTTTCTATTAAAATTCTAGGTTTTGTATTTTATTTTATTTTAAAATATCTTATTAGGCGAATATATTGACTTTCATGAATATTATATAATTTAATTGACGTAGAATAAAGGTCATAAGACATAAGAAATTAAACTTATTAAATTTTTTTTACTTTTTTATTTTCATACTAAATTTAATAATTATAATTAGTATTTATTCATATATTATATTTTAAAATCAAAGAACTACTAATTAGGATATAATCAAAGAAATAAGAGTTGATGTTGCTTTTGGAATAATCCACCAATTTCTCTAAATGAAACACTATCTACAGATTTGCATCGAAGCGTTTATTATGAAAGTGATTTTAATCACTGTCAAATATCATTTGTACTTGTCCCATCTATGCCTTGTCTACACTGTGCCTCGACCCCACTGTGCTACCATTTTTATATTAAAACCTTAGGTAATTTCCTTTCGTTTGATATCATTTTTTTTTGAAAATCTAACACCTATTCTGCTCACAAGGGGGATTTAAAATAGCAACTTTTTTACAAAAACTAACTTTTTCAATTTAATTTTTTTATAATTTATTTCTGAATCGTATGTAATAACTTTTGTTGTTTGATTTAGATACTGGCCGATGTGAACAATTTCGGAAGGAAAGTCTGACAAATTATAAACTCGATCCCGCACATTATTTTTCGTGTCCGGCTTATCGTTCGACGCAATGTTGAAATACATGGACGCATACATTGATCTATTGACGGACCCGGATATGTTGTTGATGTTCGAAATGGGTATATGCGGAGGTTTAACGCAAGTTAATCAGTGGTATGCTCGAGCAAACCACCCAGATGTCCCCGACTACAACCCCGACTTGCCTTACAAATACCTTCAGTATTTGGACGCCACTAATTTGTACGGGACAAGTATGTCTATTTAATGTAACTTTATTTATATAAAAAAAAAAAATATTGTATTTTATATTCTTTTTTTACAGCCATGATGGAACCTATTCCGTTTGTATATTTTGAGTGGTCGACGGCAACGCTGGAAGAAGTACTGAACACCCCCGACGACGGTGATTACGGATACCTGGTGGAAATCGATGCACATTATCCTCGTGAATTGCACGATTTACTCAATGATTTACCATTTTTCCCGGTAAACGAGCGATCACCGTTGTCGTCTTCGAAACACGGCAAGTTGATGACCACGTTACAACCAAAACGTGATTATATCGTGCACTACCACGCAATAAAACTAGCTGTGAAACACCACGGTGTGATCGTAAACAAAACTGCATAAATATAAAAAAATTTATGCAATCCCGCTGGTTGGCACCGTACATTCAGCTGAACACGGAATTGCGTAAAAAAGCGACCACCTCGTTTGGACAAAACATGGCCAGACTGATGATCAACTCAAACTATGGTAACATATAATTAATTTACCAAACTTTGATTGTATTTTTTTTTAAACTTATTTGTTTCGCGTTCAACAGGAAAATTATTGGAGAACGTACGGAAACACCAAAACATACAACTCGTGTGCAATCCGAAGAAACTGTCGAGGTTAACGGCAATTCGTCGTTTAGTCACACCACCGTATTCAACAAAAATCTGGTTGCCGTGCACATGTACAAGGAGAAGATCAATATTTACAAACCCATTTTTATTGAACAGGCCATATTGGATATAAGTAAATGTATAATGTACAAGTTCCATTACGAGGTTATGATGCCGTTGTACGAACCCGAGCGACTCCTACTCTGTTACATGGACACCGATAATTTCATTTACCTGATAACGACCAACAGTATCCACGATGATTTGAAAAAGTACTTACTCGAATATTTCGACATATCGAATTACCCGATCGATCACCCTTGTTACTCCCATCGACGAAAAACACAACCGGGCACGTTTACCGATGAATGCAAGGGTAAGCATATGCAAGAAATTATCGCATTGTTATCCAAAGTGTACGCTTATTCAATAACCATACAAAATTACTACAACAGGTTGTTGGTTACGAGGCAAACAGACGAGGTGAAATGATTGAAAGGCATGAGCATGGGTGTGGTGAAACATGAAATCAAAATGTTGACTATTTGAATTACTTGCGTGGTAAACTCAAGCAAACCCGTGGGAAAATGTCCGTAATACGAACGAAACACCATAGTGAGTAGGGTGAAAAAGAGCATTCAGCCCGATAGGGGAAGTAAGAGGCGTGGCCTATGTGGTAAGAGTGGGATAAATATGCGTGTTCTGTTAAGGAGAAGGCTATCACCGCTTCATCCACCCACCCCGTTTTCTGAGTGTAGGTGATGAGGGGGGAGTAAATCCAACGTAAACTAACATAATACAATGGGAGGGGAAACAACGAAACCCAACGTAAACTAACCTAAGAAGAACCTCTCCTCCTCCATCAAGTCTTATGATAGGGGTGGGGGGATGAAACTTAAGGTAAACTAACACAACTTGTCACGCGTCTAAATTATGCTCGGCCTTATATATACGTAATATCGGTTTTTGATGAAAAAAAAAAAAATGCATTTTCCAGGTAAGCTATAAGGTTACGGTGAAAAGTATGAATTTTAAACGTCGAATCCGCTAATCTGATATTCGACATGCATATATTTAGATAAAGTCCATACGTAAAATGTTAATTTTACCTAATTTGTAAAAAAAAATTAGTTCGAAACATTGTGTGCCAGATGGCTGTATTGATGATTATATTTATTTATTTATTTATTTTATTTTCTAACGCCTAAACAGGCAATTTTACAAAAGGAAGCAAACATTAAATGTAAGGTTAATNTGAACGCGGCGGCCAATGTCGCCGTCAATTACATTATTTGTTAATATACGAGTTAATAGGCTTGACCGTTATTCGTATAGTGAATAATAAATCAATATTTTTTTTGTAGATAATATATAATAATGACGACTTTTCAAGTTTTCTTATAGCAAAACACATTCTTAATTAAACATTGCTGCCGCCGCCGACGACGACCACGTAATCACTGGAACATATATATTATAATGTTTATAATATTATTATAACTGTATTATACTTATCGATTAATGGCGTACATATATTTTGTCTGAATTATTACTGGTATCCCTCCTATTGTTATAAATTATTACTGTATTTAAAAACTGTTATTAATTATTTTTAATAAAATAATAGCTTCGAATGGACGGATTGCATTCTTCATCCGTCAACGCATTAGAGACGGCAGTCGGCCATAATTTTTACAAAGGCATCTGTTTTAAATCCTAATGACATATATTTATGTGTAAACATTTCACTTTAAGACTGAATGTTTTCACGCCATTATAAATAACGATATTTAACTATATTATAATTATAATAATTAAAACGTATATACATTAGATATCTAGTAAATCTAGTAATATTCTAATATCTTAGTCGTATACACCTCATCCGTTATCACGAAATAATTATCTAAAAGATATTTGGAGAGGAGGAAGGGGGAGCAGCAGCATAACATTGTATGACTTCTAATAGGTTCTCAGTATTTGTTAATGTATTGTGTGCACAAGATGGATTACCCGCACATTGTATACATTCTATGTTGTAAATCGATAGTGATAATAAGTTCCTGATGATTGTTTACCAACATGACGTTTGGCCAAAATGAATCGTTTGGGTCCAGACCAATGTATACACTACACATTTGTGAAATCCTATACATTGATGAATCGATCAAGTCGTTGATTTTATTGAATTTACACCTTGGTGTAGCCATTGTGATTAAAGTCTCAAGATCCAATAGGCTTTACTGACGCTGCGGTTCGCATTAGTCGTCCTTTCAATTGTTTCGATTGAATCCAAAAGTTCGTAATATATTCGCTTCACAACTGAGCATGCACATTCGAGATTGTCCGAATTTTTTCGAGTCTTTTTGCTTTTATAATCTACCTTTTGATTAAAAAGCTGGAATTATGTAAATTACTATTTTTGAACTTTTTACTTTGAAATAAATGGAACATTAATAAAAACACCGGGAGTGCACAATTTTTTGAATGGGGGTAATTAAAACTGCTTGATAATGCTGTATNTTGGGGGTAATTAAAAATGCTTGATAATGCTATATGTTTATCTAAAAGGAAAGGAATTTGACTTGAAATCTATTGTCTATTTATCATTTTAGTATTAGCTTTTAAAATATTTG